AATTCGACGACAGCAAATGGGAATATAAAACCCTATTAAAGATCAGGTGGTGACGAAGTACGCGTCTATTCTATTGTTCATTAATAGAACAGGGAAGATGAAATTTCGCAGAAAATGAGCCTTGGGGCTCCTCTTATATTACAAAGCCATCACGCGGGTTCTCTGCGAGGCGCTTTTGAAAACTGGGTGCCTTGCTGGCAGTTCGTGTATTGCAGAAATTGCTTTCAATCATTAAAATTTTAACATATTTGTGGCCAAAAGAAATTCACGCGTGAAAAAAGGTTGTGAAAGAAGTTTTGGAAACTGTTTACTTAACCTGAAGCATATAAATGGCCAATAGCATTTTCAAAGTCAAGAGCGGGATTATTATATGTACTCTTCGTCAAACGCACAACTCACGTTACCTAAATGATCATATTCGACAATAAAAGCCACACATTATTTTCAATAATTTCCGCAATGAATGTAATGCATTTTTACATGCGAATGCGAAGCCAACGATAAAAAAAGAGGACGTATATTTTTGCAAAAACCTTTTTTTGCAAGCTGCCTTCGGATGTATAAAGTACGCATAGGATTTGGGGTAGGCGGCCAGAAGAGCGCTCATCGCTCACACGTGACCGGTCCGGCTTCAATTTGAGAGTGCGGAGGCGGTGGTGGAACAACGAACCCCGCTGCAGATTTTAGATAAAAAAAAAAAAAAACGAAGAACTAAATCCAAGTGAAATTTATTGCACCCGGCAAAAAATGTAGAACGGCTGAGAGCAGTGGGCTTTAATATCTCTTCGCGAGAACTGCCAAACAAAGGTAGCTTTTCGCAGTCAAGAACTCGTATATTTTTTTCGATGGGCAGAATTCAGCGGTGGCTTAACAGCGTTTTTTTTTTTTACTGACAACATCATTACGGTGTAGGCTGTTGTCATTGCAGCGAACGAAACGGAGCGTGATTGATTAAATTCTGTCACATATAGAAGAAAAGCTATTAAAACGTAGGCACGAATAGTACTTGAGAGAAAATTCTATGAAGAGATGCAAAATATGCTCTTAAGCAGTTTATGGTGTCGTTTCACATGAACAGTATAGATCACTCTGTAAATTTTTCCGTTTGTAGCAATATAAGTATTGTAAGCGTTTTCTTTTTCTATTCGTATAAGCTCTGTTTATGAACAAGCCGTGTGGAAAATTTTTCTTTCGATCAACTGCACTATTTTCGACGTTCAGTGATCCGATTTCCAGTCACTATCATGAGGAACTTTGAAGCCCTTAGTTTATGCGGGCAGTTCGCTTATTGCAATGTCTATTCTTCAATTAGTCTTGATGATTCCGTATGCGCGAACCTTATAACAAGTAACTATGGAAAGGTATGTAAAATGATCTTCTTTACAACAAATTCCCAAGGTCTACGCGCACGTGTAAATAAGGACTTTTACTATAGGGCTAAAGCTTATGTGGCTCCGGAAGCTGCGAAAGCACAAATCCAACGGAAAGGTTCAGGGGTCATATAGGAGAACAGCAGTTCTCAAGTGCAGCATGAGACTTCATTCATGCTAGGTAGCCGGACCTGGTTAGTGTTTCCCGTCTTCTAGTATCAGCTGAAGATCCATATTAGATCGCTGTTAGTTAGAAGCGCATTGAATGATCAGTGTACAAAACACGAATAGTACATGATGCCTGGCCTGCGCAACGCACGGTACAGAACTACTGATCTCTACGGTGTTACATGAGAATTTATCACGTGAGTTTTTCAAGAAGAAATACGAGAGTGGCGGCATGTCTTAATCCTGAAAGCAGAATTAGAAAATAAACCACAAAAGACTGTGGGCCATAAATTGATGCGCCAACTGGGTAGGTCGCGGAGTCCGCTCTGAAATCATCGGGCATTGCCCAAATGCTAGACTATTATTATTTTTCCCCCGGGATTTCCCCGGTCAGGTAATATGCGCCGTTATAGCCAGCTTAGTATGTCTAATGCATCTGCACAGTTTTCAAATATAGAATCAACAAGTCGAGTGTATCTTTTATTCCATCTAGACAAATTATATACAGCCAGATCGCACACTATACTTAGAAAGCGGACTGATTTTCCCACGCCTCTATTCCCGAATTCGGCCACACAGTTTTCCGTCCAACGCTGCTCTACGAATCATACTTCATAATATTCTACGAGCCTCTAAAAACCTTAGAACAATCGAAATAGCTGTTGCCCCATCAGCTGCGAGAGTCGACTTATGACGCCATATCTACCGGACTTATGTAGTCGCTAAAAAAATAAATACTATCAGGCGTACTCACGTTTTTATCCACTTATTTATACAGTATCGAGCCGAGACAGAATGTGAACATTCAAATATATGGCACTAGAAAGAGCATTTAGACGCATTTGTCCAAATGCAAAACTTCGCTGGCAATAACTCCAAGTTTGCCTTTGACTCAGCGTGATACATGACTTACCTTAAATTGCCTTACCTTAAATGCACCTTAAATTAGCCCATTGATCTATTACTAGAAAAAAAAAGTGGTAGCGCGCAAACTTAGCTCCTAAGTATAGTCCAAGACGTTTTTTAATGCGATCGCACAGATAAAATGTCGTGTGCCCTAAACGGAAAACGTACAACACGCACCCCTTATGTGTGTGTGTGATTCGGATCTTAATAGTCTGTAAATAAATCAAAAACTAGAAGGCTGTTTATATGTGCTTAGTTATAATAGGAGCTGTGGGTTAGAGGCGGCGTTTCAGTTTTGCCTACCGTAATCATTCAATGATTTTTAAAGCCATAGAAAACTAATTTTAAAAAAAAACAATTATCTAGTTAGCCTATTTAATTTTAAATCACTCAAAGGACATATTCCATTTCGAGCATATTAATCTCTGTAAAATACCATTTGTTGTTGAAGTACCTGCTTACCATTGCTTCTCTATGCAATGATCTTATTTCCACTATTCTACCCACCTATAAATCTACTAGAACTCACTCAAGTCAAAAACATAAATTAAACACCAAAAAAAAAAAAAAAAAAAGCTTAAATATCCACAATGAAGCTCCATTCGAATGAGTATTTCGCGCATAATGTTCAAGCGGATACAGTTGTTAAATATGGATGGATACATAATTGTGAACCAATAGAGGAACGTCGCCAAAACGCGGTGTTTGTTTGCAGTTGTGGTTTGTCGATACGGCGATCTGTGATAAATTCTGTCCGTCCCCCTGCAGCTTACGTTCCCTATTCATCACGGCGATAATGTGTGGGCCGAATTCAATGGGCTATCGCTCGTCCAAAAGTGGTTTGCTTCGTATCATTCGTCCACTTATCTAAATTACACGATTGATACAGTCCGCATCGAATCTTTCTCTAGTTCCTTTTCCACCTGCACCTTGACCTTTTTACGAAATGTCAAAGTGACACAACAGACACGTACATATGATGCGTATACTCATTAAGAAACGTGCTCATGAATGGATTAGTCAGCATCAGAGTCAAGCGATCAGGGTCCGGAAGGCCATCGAAGCAATCAGTCGATCGGGCCACCCGTGTCTAATGAAACCCGCAACGTAGATAAACAGTGCCGTCGACGGTATCTCACTACGAACGTGTAGCACCTTGAACGTCTAATACAACGAATAGCTGTGCGTGCGTAAGTACGTACGTACGTACGCCCATATGCATTACAAGCTGACAACATCATCTGCGATAATGGCCTCTGTCGCTGCTAGCTAGCTTAGCGTCACTACATGTATGTCCCATATATATATATATATATAGATATATATATATATATATATATATAAAACACCTGTATGCGTGTAGAGCGTCAGACATCGATACAATGAATACGATCATTCTTATCTCCATCAAAGCGTCGCTGCTGCTACACAATACATTGGCAGGCTCATGCCATCGCCCCTGCCTCTGGCCTAACTAGCGTTAGCAAACTAGCAGAAACAAGTACCTATTCGTTTTAGGTCGCACTGCAGTTATGCCCTATGTACGGCATATACATCGGCAGTTTGGTTTGGCCATTTGCCGTGGCATTTGTAGGTGGGCTGGAGCGGCCAGCGATGTTGGCTAGCGATCGCCCTAGCTGATTCGGTCGCTGGCCAACTAGACGACTCTCATCTATAGGAACGATGACCGGCCTTCTACCAGCTGGGTACGTCGTGAGTACTTTGTATGTAGCGTACGAATCGAGACGACTGGACGTGCGGACGACGATGACACTATCGAATACATGCGAGAATATCCGCGCATCAGTACAGAGGCCACAGCTAGAGAAATCGATGGGCATAGTGATGGATGTACGAAGGCACGAAGAGTCTTTCCCTCTTTTGAGTACTAAGGAAGATTATATACGGCTCACACAGATAGCTTTCAATCGGGTTTGAATATCTGTTTGCTCCTGTCGGACATGTAAAAAGAACTACTTGTTATTTTATTTATATTCGGTTTAGTGTTATACTTTCCTAGTCATAGATCTTTGGGAATAAAGAAAATCAGCCAATGTAAAATTAGACGCGACGAATGGTAAACGCCAATTCAGCATTAGTTCAACATGTATGCTCCGTGTACTTTTCTTATGGTACATAAGCAGCCTTAGAAAAACAGCTTTGCATAGGAAACCCACTATCGTATGTTGCTGTACCCGTCGGCTATTCGTGGGCTGAGCCCAACCCGCAAACTTGGTAAGCATCAAAATCACTAACGAACCCTGTCTCTCGAAAGTTTTATTTCAAACGTATTTTCATAGTATACGTCCGAATTAGTGGCGAGACAATTAAGCTGATGAGCGTGATTCTCAAGCCGGTGTTTACCGCTATAAATACGATTCACTGCGTTGATAATGAACCGGTCCGATGCAGACGAAAACCGATGTTGGCGTCTGTCTGCAGACTAACGACCCCTAGCTAGCTGACGAAATCGTTTGACTACATTGGTAGCATTGTTTTTCTACTCATCGTTTAGTAATGCCGGCTGGCCAACGACCTATCGATATATACATTCATCTCAAACCAATACGAAATAGTTTAACGAAGACGCAACTACCAATCGCTCTTTGTACATTTATCCATTGAATGAGCTGAACGTACGTTCGTAAGACGTTCCAGGTGGGCTTGCCGCATCAAGTGAACATGACTGCATCAAAATCAGTTTGGCCAATGTAAGTTAAGTTCATAGGTAAAACTAGATGTTTTAATTTGGCTCGATAAAAGCTACTCGTGACAAGTATTCGTCCAATGAAATAGTATGATCTACACGTTTGTGGCTAGTAGAAATGAAACCTTGCGCATGCGACATACTTCAATAGGAAGAAAGTTATACAAAGCATGAACATTATTCAGACAATCTTACCAAAGAGCGACTAGGTGACAAAGGTCGAACACCACACAGGATTCATGCGATCTATCAGTCAGAAGGACAATTTTCTACTTGACGACAGTATCGATAACTTGTACGACGCAGTCGATAACACGCAAGATGTACAGCTTAACGTATGTCACCGAATCGAACTGGCAGGCGCGAATTCGCCGTCTTGCGTGGTAAGCTGGCTAGAAAATGACTCTCAGAGAGCTCCGATAATATTTCAACCAGCTCTAAAGCGGACCGGAAGTGTGATGGTGTTCCGAGAGAAAATAAACTTTACAACAACAACTCTATCTTCTTCTATCTAATCTAAACTTCGTCGGGCGGCCAGACGAAAACGACAGACAATTAAACCAACCAACATAATGGGTGAAAGTGGTATTTTCGAAACTTTTTTTTGGGAACTTCAAAATAAATATCTGGTGCGACAATCACCGAATGGTAACGGGACCCGGGATGCAAGTCAAGATGACATTAAGATTGACATCTAATATCCAATATATATGTAGAAAATCAATCTACAATGGTACGACATAAAAAATAATGTGAACTTTAATTAGATTAAATCTTGACGAGTGGACGCAGGTCATAGTCCGAAAAAGTCCCGCTGTCCGATTTCTCATAACAACCCAGTGTAGGGAAAGGTTTTTCTGATGATTAGACGCGCAATACTTGCATATAAATGCACTGGAATTCTTAAAATAGGATAAATCAAATGGTCAATGCGATCGTTCGAATAGGATATCGAAAGCATAGACATACACGAGGACAGAACATAGCTACCTTTCAGTATGTCTAACATATGGGAAAGGAGTTGAATGAAAGTTAGTACGGGTCCAGACGAAAAACACATTTTTGATATCGCCATCGTACTGCAATGCGTTAATGTTAGATGGCGATGTTACCAAGTGATCGTGGCCATAAACCCCTGTGTCGCGTGGCAGTCTGTAACCTTTGCGTTATTGATCCCTTGGCAACTATACGAACAATACGCAGACCAAGCCTTGATGATGTTAATGAACGCTGTCAACGTTTAGATCAAATTAGATAAAGGTCATTCCCCACTGTCGATGCTGGTTGCCAATAAAACTGTATACCAGAATGCCAGGTGGTAGGTCACCTTAGTATTGATCCATCTACCTACAGGTAAATGGCTATGCACATCTGCTGTGTATGGGACTCACTGCACTGAATGTACCCTTGTTAAACAAATCTAATTTCGCCTTTAAAGTTAACTGGTTTAATGTAAGCTATCTGAGACGTTTCGCCTCTGCGCGCGGTAACTGAAGATGCGGTACTACAGCTGCGTCAACGTTTTTAAAATGAATACAAGCCGCACGACTTGATCACATAGCCTTTGTGGCATTGGTTGCAACTGGGTTGAGCTTCGATCAGTGAGTTACGCTTGTTCTTCGCTCAAATTCGTTCAAGTCAGATCTTCTTCAGCTATAAACAACGCGACTCATTAGTAACTATAGTAGTTAATCCCGAGTCAGGTAAAAAAAAAGTCAGTCACGTACTTAATATAGCTGTGGGAAGGCTTTAATTCAATAGGTGTTATGTAATCGCTTGGATATGCGACTTCTGCTAAAAACATACGACGCCCTTCTAGCAAAAAATGCCGCACAAACAGCGGGAAGGGACGGATATAGAAATAGGTTTTTCTGTGTGGAAAGAGGCATGAGCCTCGTACATCAACGGTAATCCTTTTTTCTTCACTAACTAGAAGCTTTGAAGTTCATAAAACTCTTTAATTCGTTGGCACATTGGCACCAAGCATTATGAATTTTCGCGCCTGCGAAGTATGTAACGCGCCCAATTAGCGGCAATCGCTCTATGTATGGATAGTAATTCATGAAAACAACGGCTATATTTCGTTCAAAAAAAGGACAAAACCGTTATTGAAATTGAAAGAAACGGTCGGCGACGATGTATCTATAGCGTGTATCAAACTGGCTATAAAGTATAATCGCTTCTCGCGGCTGTTGCTAGCGGCTAAGAATACGGCTTGTTCCTGGCAAATTAATGGAATTACCCTGCTCTTTATATAATACTAATATTTTAGGCCCGATAAATTAGATGTTAAATTGTCAAATGGTCAGTATAAACTACGCAATAATACGATGACAATGTGACAGTTCCAAGTGAAGCAGGATACACGTCCTTTCGAACAATGTCTACATATACAAATATCTAATAGCGATATAAGTAACATTTTTTTCTATGAATTTTCATTAGGATTTTAATTAATAACAGACATATATTTATAGCATTGATAGAGATTCGCATTTTTCTTGCCGGTGAGTATCCAGTATATAATTACACGCGCACACTTTTTCATGCGTTCATGGATGAAGATCGCAAATCTGATAATTATTAAGCTTAATTTTTAGATCACTCAAAAGCCTCCTATTTCGTGCCCTGTTTAATCCTGTTGTGCGAGGGCCAGCGTCAAGAGACTGTCTTAAAAAACTTCCTTACCCATTCACACTAACCACGTTATCTTCATAGTTGTGAGGTTTTATTCTATTAACTGCTAAGTTAGTTTTCCGTCTCGACCTTGTTCAAAGTCTATTCCATGAGCAACGGACCGGTTGTGTGTGGACGTCCACTGCATATGCCAGGACACACGTGCCCTTTTTTTTACCAGTAACAACGGCAGAATGGAACGAAATGATTGCATTAAACCTTCTACCTAAATTAAGGCTTTAACCATAAATAGTCTACTCGTCCAGAAAAAAAAAACGTGTTCGGCAACACCAGTGGCACCACGGCCATCATCAGCGACTTCACCTGCAACAGCAGCGCAATAACGGAACAAGCGTTAAGAGCGGGCTATAATCTACAGATCGCTACAGGTAGGGTAGGCAGATGGCTAACAGGCTAAAGGGCATCTAGACACACTCACTATTCGATTAGTGATTGTAAGCAGCAAGCTTGAGTAACGAGCATCGTTCATTTGGCGACGGCGACGACAACACTTCTGGTGATCATGGCGGCAAAAGCAGCCTGGCAGCCAGACAACGAGGCGGCATCCTCCGTATCCGTGGGTGGTGACAAGTATCGACCACAGAACGAGGAGCGACTATATGACGAGTCGAACAGTTTCCTGGGGAAACGCAAGCTAATGCATCATTGAACACAGCCGGCCAAGAAGGCGTGTATCCTAGCCAAGCAGGCAGTCGATCCGTAGAGGGGGATCAGGTAGGTAGGTAGGTAAACGGTGGCATGCTCTCACTTTCTTATTCCCATGTTTTCGGTCCGTTGACAAGCATCGACGCTGACATCGCATGCCCGATATTTAGCATTCTGAGAAGTCAGCTCAATGAATCGTATTTGATTTTTACGCTCAAATCTCAGCGTATGATACAGAAGGCCAAGGCGCAGAGTATGGGAGGCAACAGGATGAATAGGGCAGTGTCTCAGTGAAAGCGTGGGGGATCAGCAAGAATATTTTTCTGCCAGCAAACTAGGCGTTGCACTGTAAAATAAATCGTGTAAATCGCACGGCCTGACAAAGGGCACGTTGACTTCTCCAAGGACATAATCTATAATATAATGCAGGCGGAAAACGAATAATGACAGTAAAAATCTAACAGATTCCTGTCGGAGTTCTTCTGCGTTGATTTGGTGAATCGTTTAGATCGGCATCTGTTATTTGGTGCTTGAAGAGCTACTCGCTGGTTTTATTATCATCATGCAGCCCACTGGCGGAAAGGGTCATTTTAAGACTTTCTGTGTACGAAAACTTCAATGGGATTGCTCATAGTCTAGTTCAACTACGCGAATAGACGTTCGAGCTACTTCGGACTGTTTGAGCTAAGGGACTCCAGCTGGAGCTCAAGTGGAGTGAAAAAAGAAAGCCAATGCATTGATCTGCTTCGAAAACTGAAAATTTACGAGGCGATACATATTTAGCTAGGTTAGTCCTGGACAACCGTGATGTAAGAACGAACTCGTCGGAAAGATTTAACTGTTTTAAGTGCGACTCGAGTTTTGCTCGAGGGATAACCATTAGGTCTTTTTTTCTGTATTTAGGGGCCTTCTTCAATCTCTTTCAATTAACAAAAGGTAGCAAAATCAATTTATCATTCACATGGAATCGATGGCGATAAAAATGGTTTAGCTCACCGGGCTTTTTTAGGTTACTGATCGAATTTTGTACTCGAATAATTCAATTCCTTCCTTGAACCGGTACCCGTTGATACGTAGGGCAGTTTTTCCTTTCCTCATCGCGTCTTTTATATGTTTATAAGAATGTAGTTTTTAGTAAAAGTGAGCACAGAACGATATCTAGAAAAGCCTACTTGTATAGTTATATATAATAAGGTGTCATAATAGACAGTAGCAGTCGTCTGCGAGCCGCAACATCGACGGGCAATCCTCGATATACTACTGTGTAGAGTGATAAATTATCCGGAAATCCAAGTAAACACATATTATGTCCTCCTTGTAAAAGCATTACAGGCATAATAGGGGCACTCAAAAAAGGTACAGAGCTACAGAGGGGCGACGGCCTATCGAAAAGTACCGTGTCCAATATAAGAATTTGGCTGAGAGTTACCATATAGTTCGAAGGCAAGTGTCAAACGTGGCAAATGATAATCGTACGTTATATCTCCACTGTTATAACTATAATAATCATCAATGTTATTTGTTTAATTACGATAAACGTCCAAGAGCACTTTATTTATGACGTATTCAATCTCACATTCATTTTTATTGTGGCTTGGTTTGCTTTTTTAAAGATCAATTGTTGACCAGTGTTCATTATTAGTGTTATTAGCAAATGTGTGTACCGCTGATTTTTGTGTCTCCGTTTCCTGTTACTCTTATTCGCCTAGCTACACTTATTCTGTTCTTCTAAAATTATTATTATAAATTACCAGTTAATACTACCTAAGCAAGTTCATCGACTGCTTATGTGTGACGCATTCACCTCCCTTCGAACTTGTTCCGATTTCATTTGGTTATGGCATGGTACTCACGTCGGGCGAAGTTAACGCGCTGAGGGGCAACCGGTGCCCAGTTTCGGTGACGGCCCAGGGGCCCTCAGCCAGCTGAGGAAGCGGCATGTCGCACAACTTCGGAAGTTTTCCCGCGATTTTACAGCGATCTCCGCCGATCGTCCACTACGAGCACTTTAGCACCGCTGAGCCGCTTGAGACGCTTTCTTAATCGAAATCTTCTTATGGTATGCTCTTGCCTTCTTCCTTTTCGGGGCGTCTCCGTCAGGAAAAGCTGACAACAGATTAAGCGGCGCCTGCGTAAATAAGCTGGCGTTAGCCTTTACTGACTCGGACAGCACTATTGAATTCAACCCTCTGAGCCTCAACTACGACCACAGCGTAGAGATTAACCATCAGACACTGTGCACCGTCAACACGATCCGCTTCCATAGACGTTCGTTCATATCAATTTGCTGGTTGTCAATGAGCTCAGCAAGCCTTTCATGTGAATTTTTATTCGAATGATCATGATCTTCACAGGAGTTAACTAACCGAGCTTCTTTGCTTCATCCACTTCTATTGATTTCGTTTGCTCACCTTACTCCAATAGACTCACTTCACTAAACACTTCACACTCGACACCTACACTCGTATGTCGATATCAGAAATGAAGCATTCGTCACAGGGCCCAGTCTGCAAATATTTGTACCACTTCCATGCGAAAAACGGGATCGCGTCGAATACACAATTGGCACTTAAACGATTGTTTTTTTTTGTAGTAGTTGTTTGTTTTTGTTGAAGAAAAATGATATTTTGTATTTAATTCCTCATAATCGCAGCACCACAACAACAATCAATCAATCAAATCAGTCCTTCTGCGGCTGATTGATCTCCAAGTGCGTGTAACAGTGGTAGTTTAGGTGGGAACCTACACAGCAGTTAACGCTTACAGCTGCTACATTAGTGATGTCTGCTAATTTTAACGGCTGTGTTTCTTTTTTACTTGACATAACCCCATTGACAGCGTCAGTAGCACCTTTCGGATCCTGGCTTTCGTATTCCTGCTTATTTTCTGCCTGTTTGTTCTTTTTTGTTTCGTTTCGTTCGGTCTTTCTCCGCGTCTGCCTGTCCAGTGCCCCGTCTCCGGTCGATTCCTTCCGCTGCTTGCGACAGAATACGCCACGAGACCTATGGGTTGGTTCAGCCACTACAGCCGTGTAGCAACTACACTTGTAGTAGAGGTCATTCCGCGCGCTTATGCCCCTGCTTGTTCGGGTATGACGTCAGCAGGCAAAACGCTAGGCAGGTAGCAGCGCGCTGCTCGCGTCAACGCGAATGGCGGCCGAGTGGCGATGGTTGAGCAACCGGATGCTGATAGGCATCGATCTATCGTCACCGCTACGGAAAAGTAGCGATGCGGATAGCAGCTGCAGTGGGCGGCCGCACCGAATACCAAACAGACAAAATGTGTACAGAAAAACACAAACAAAGATGGATTAGATTAGCAGCAGTAATGGTAATCGGTCCTGCTGTTGTCGTTGTTCATGATACTGCTGCGTAAAGTATGCTAGAGACAACTCCGTCATTGAAAAGTAGGCCAATAGCAATGAATCAGAAATATCGACACTCCGAACCGGTGACGCGCGCGGGTCTGCGCGTATGTTCACTGTGCCCTCGCAGGTGACTGTTTCCGTTGTCACTCAGACCAACTCTCAGCACTACCGTCACCGCACCGCTGATGCTGGCCAGGCACAAATACTCTTTACCACAAGCAGGCGCTTAGACTACCGAGAACAGCGGTGGCGGCCTGCACCGTCGTGGACCTCTCTGTTCCTTGTACGCATCGTGAAAGACAGTAGAACACCTCAGGGATGCGGTGAAATCCGTCGAACTCTCAAACACACACACAAAAAGAAACAGATCGTAACTGGAAGTAGTTTACATAACGGCTGTTTCATAAAGCCACCGCGCAACCGATTACGTACGGTGACGGCTGTACCAGCAGCGACAAAGAGAACAGCTGCGGGACCAGCTTATTCCAGCAGCAGAGCACCCAGCAGTGTTGTCTAGAGAATAGTCCAACCGTGGTAAGCGTAACGCGACCACACGGAACCGCTGCTCCTCACTCGGCGGGAGTCAACGGGTATTTCGCGTTCTGAGAACACGCTCCACGCCCTCGCCACTTTGAAGGAAAGGGCAAAAGTAAGGGTCGCTTGATGCCGCCAGGACAGAGAGTCACTGTGCTTCTGGTAAGCGCCCGCCGCCACCGCCGCCGCCGCCGTCGCCGCTGCCGCCGTGGCTGTCACCGATGCTGGGGCTGCTATTTAGAGTAGCTAGCATAGCTGACAATGATCAATCCAACAACGGCGATGCGCGGGCTTTACTCAGGCACAGGGAAGATCAAGACAAGGGATTCGTTCTCACAGAACGAAGAAGCGGAGACAAGTCAATTCCTCGCAGCCGATCCAGCCCACAAAACTCCGAGTTGGCCTGTATGTCAATACTGATTTCAGCAGTTGAGTCACTAGTCACATACATGCACTCAACGCATGCATGCGAAGACATTACGCGGAACTGGATCAAGAGGTATACTTGAGGTGCCTAAGTGCTCTTCGATAAATATCGCTGTTCTAATAACATTGCTATTTCTAATGTCTGGATGATAGAGAACTGGCGTTAGGAAAGACGGGGCCTGTGTACACGGAGGCCTATATTTGTCAAGTCTGTCAGATTCAACGCCCATGACTTGGGCGGCCATCGAAGCTGCCAAAGGCTAATGATAATGACGGCGGTTGAGGTTAACACGAAGAGTAGTAAAAGCAAGACACCTTAAAGAAATAGAGACAAAAAAATAGTAGTGGTAGTAGCAGCAGCAGCTATACCTCTTATGGAAATAGGTCATTCAGTTGTGTGGCCGATATTCTTGTCGTATAATAGTATAGCGATAGTCTGTATTTATGTATAGCAGATGCTGGTTTATTTTTAGATTAGTTTTTTTTTAACAATCGACCAACGTTCGTGGCTAGTGCGTTCGCTGTCACAAATGGCAAGGAGCGCCTTCAGCTACGATTTGTCGATCCCTACGTACACCTACTTATGACCGTGTCGTTGTTTCTAAGCGGCTGTAGCACTAGCTGCTACACCATCGTCTTCGCTAGGCAGCTGGGATAGCCGCCGCTGCTACCACCACCGAGGGAAAGAAGAGGCCCGTGTGACCCGAGTGACAACGCAGGGTGGAAGGTAAAATCGGAGAGAGAAGTTGTAGGTTGCTTTGATATGGCATGACGCAGACATCGTTGGGCCTGCAACCGAAAGGACGCATTAAAAGCGTCCAGTGGCCGGCTGACCAAGAAACGCGCAAGTCGACACTGAATCAGTGGTAATAAAGAATAGTGCTCGTGTTAGTGCAGTGGAAACGTGACGACATATTAAACTAAAGGATATGTATGTTCTGAATGGTAAACCGCAGTTATCAAACCCGTGCCATGTGGAAAAAATCCATAGAATCATCGTCAACAACGGCAACTGTTCCGTTTCGAGCGAGCACGACGAACGCAGGTGGCTGACGAGAAAACAGAGCCATCGGGGATGATAATAAATAGTTAGCTTGATTGAAGCTTGTTTATAAATTAATGTGATTTGTACTACTGGAAAGAAGTTTATATCGGGACGAAAACTAAGGTGGCAGCTTTTCACCTTTTTGAATAAAGACACTGACTGACTATACATAGTATGTAGAAATTTTTTTCAAATGACCATATTTAATTATGCCGAAGTCATTTACAAAATGGAATTAGTTAGCACTCACTCAGCGCCTCAACTTATTGCCGCCCAGGGTCTAATGATGGCAAACAAGCCACCATTAAACACCGATTTGGCTTTGAAGCCGTTCGTCATATGCCGCCAAACAGGCAAAAGCAAGGCGATATTATGGCTGTTATGTATCGTTAGGATTCTTTAATTTTTCTTATTACGCTGGCGCCTTGTATGCTGCGCTCGTTGATACTATTCCTGTTTTTTTTATTCTAAAAATAGTGATATTTTCACCGCGACTAAGAACAACACGTGCGATACTCATGTTTGGTTGGTACTGTATATATAGACGTTGTCGGTGGGATCGTTTCTACCCTGTCTACGAATTGAATTGAGAACTTACGCAGACACAGAATCCGTACATACATACAAGGATGGACGTTACTGAAAAACACCATTTCTATACCACGACGCTGTAACAGGATTACAGCGTTCAATAGAGATTTCTTCGAAAAACAGTTTCCATCATTTATGATACCCTTCAATGGCGTCAGAAGCACAAAAGGGAACTTGCACTCTCACGAACAGATGATTAGCTAGCGAAAGACGAGGTAGCACATGACACTGTGGCGGTGGTCTTATTTTTAACATCGCTGACCCAGTGGCGGCAGGCTAATCGAGAAGATGAAGGCTTTGCCTGCACTTGAATTGCCTTCTGCCCTACACCGAAAAAAAAAAAAAAAAAAAGCCGCTGAGACAACTTCGAATGACCTCAACGTGGTAACCTAGAGCCTCATGACGTCTTGAAATTTAACTGAAATCTATTCACAGTTTCCTAGAGTAACAAATTAAGAACTACGACTATTAGTTTAAAATATATGGTGAAATATACGGTTCTGAAGACTCTTTCGAACTAACGAGAAAAATCGTTCATGCTTTGAAATTTCGACGGAAAATTAAGAAGTTCGTCGAACTCACGAAGCACATATCAGGCAACTTAAGTTGATTCAAATATATAACTAGCTTTATTGTCAGATGCTGTTGAAAATTTGAATAAATTATGTGACAAGGAGAGCATGGATTTCTTCATTATTGCCATGCTTCAGCGAGCGGCTGGCATCTGCATATGTATATAATAAAATTATACAATATATTCGTTACAGGTGTGATTAGGTTGTAAATTATAAGTTTAGCACACGATTGCCTAACTAGCCTTTCCTCGCAAGGAAGGCTTTGTTTTGTATTGCATATACATGTTTTGTGCATACTAAATGATTTAAACTCTATGCAAATAGGGCAGTAGGCGAAATACGTTATAATGTGCTTTTACCAAATCGTTCACTAAATAAATTATCTTTATTACATATAAAGATCAGTGTGGTAAACAGAAAAAAAAAACTAGCCACTTTAGAATTCCAAACCTTTTTCACATTCTACCGGTTGTTAGTCATTTGATTTCCCCGCTAGCAGACACACACGTCTCGTCTTGAGTGTCCAATATAAATGCAGACCCGTTGTGTGAGCGGAAGACTAGTTTCTGTTCTGTTAGTAATTTTCACGCTATTTCGAGCGCTTACCAGTTAAAGATGTCAGCGTCAGCATCGACCGTGAGTCGTCGCGTTGATTCGTTCGGTGAAGTCGCTGCGAATGCACTTTTGTTTCAGCCAACACGAGAAAGAGGACGGACCTCTTTCTACGTCTATGGGACTGGCAATAGGCGAAACAGGACAAAAACCATGCCACAGAAAAGATCCCCCAAGGTCAATAAAAATTCTTATTACAGATGTGTTCTATAAGATTTCCTCATAAAAGCATATAAAACTATTACGAGATTTAAATACAATACACGATCTCCAACGTGAATTTTGAGGTTTTCAACTGCACAGTTCGGGTCGTTGGTACTTTGTCTACGTTCAACTCATCAGATTAATGCTGATATGTGAGAGTAACATCAAATTTCATTAATAGGCTGAAAAGTGCGCAAACTGCACGGAAAAACTAAAATAGTATTTGACATTACAGTACCAAGTAGATTTTAACATATACAAGCAGCTAACCTGAATGTGGAAACTTCGGATATAGGTGACATAGCAGTCGTCATAACTTCCGTACACGTAAAGGTTTCTGACTACATCTCGAAGGAGAAAATACTGGAAACTTGTCTCATATAGCTAAGTCATATGCACCCCAGCCTGTACCTGGCGGCGGTGGGAATAGGCAACTGTAGCAGGATGAGGGTTACGTCCTGAATTAATAGTGCTTCTTGCTGTATTGAAATCAGGATAAAAACTCTCCCCTAGGTACCTTTATCGAAGTTATACGTTTCCGAAGGGTATAGCTGTGCCCAAGCCATGTTCCTTTAAAAGTTTTTATCCTTTTGATTCTGCGGACTTTGATCAAAAGGATAAAGTTATTCTAGTAAATGCTTCTAGAAGGAGTTTCCCTTTTGAGTTCGAGTGTTAGAAAACTATGCGCTAGAAAAGGTGCATACCGGTCCTCTTCGTAGCAATCAGTTAAATCGATGTTTCGAAACTTACGTCCGGTATTATTGCTGTTAAAAATTGCCTCGGACGGCTAACTTCCCGCGCAAATACTCCATATTAATTGCTTCTCGTCACCTTAGGTTTAACTTGAAATATCTGGTGAAATATACACAGTGCTGACGAAAGTGGCCTTTACTGAGATCATTGCAAGTAAAATTTGTTAGACCACCCTTATTGTAAACTAATTTCTGCAAGCTTTGTGCTGACAACTAAACATTGATATACCCATATCTTGTTATAGAGGTTGTAACAGCAAAATAGGACTAAATAGAACGGGTGTGACTTTTCATAAAAAGAAATTATTCGAACATCGAGTACAGTTGCTTATTGGTATGATTTTTGACGTGGCGCCACTTTTCAGGCGCTGCTGAGCCTAGGAAAACGTCTTCGTCGGTTATTTTGGGATCCAGCCATAGCTAGCTCAATGGCATCGGCACGTTCGATGTAGTCACAAACGAAGTCAGTGTTTGTCTTATGCTGTGCAGAGTCACAAAAGTTTTCCTTTACTTCAAAACAGGAGACCGGTAATAAACAGATAGTATTATTTAAATCATACGTTCTACTGACTTGATCGTCATTTCTTTGAATAATTATAGTATGATGATCCCAGCAATGTGTATCATTTTGACGGCTGTACATCGTACTTACCGATCATAAGACTACTTGGTAAAGTGCAGAAGGTTATCCAGACATATCGCCATACCTTCAGATGAGGCATACTACGATAAACCAGTATATACCCAAGACATGTTAGTTACGCCGTGGTAGAACTCGCTCAGTGT